AGGCATGTTGCTATCCCAGCCGGCCGCCAGCTCACTGTTCAACTGTGCTTCAATGCTGGGAGGCAGTATGTCTAGGCAGACGTCGTACTGCTGGTCGAGGCCGAGGTACGCGTCGCTCATCACGTACAGCGTATAGATGACTCTGCCCTCTCTCTCGGGTGTGTAGAACACTAGTGGCGCCCTCTGGCGGCCACGCACGAAGCCGATGCGTTTCAGCGCGAGCACCTCGCGCAAGTCAATCTCGCCCAGCATGAGGAACCAGCCCTCATCCTTTGGCTTTGGGAACTGTGGCGTGTGCGCTCGCCTCTCCCCCTTGAATATAAAGTATGTGAAATGTAATAGGCAGTGTAGAGGCTTGAGACACAGACTCTCCTGCATGAAGAGGAATGGTTTACAGGGGTTCAGATGTTAGGGTGGGCTGACAGTTAATTAATGTTTTTTACAAATAATTATTGTTGCATACCTTGTTTCGGTTGAGGCGAGTGAGATTGACATTGAGAACATACTCCTGATCTGCATGTACTTCTATCCAAGGTTTATTCACTAGCCTTGTACCTAAAATTACAAAGCCTGTCTTACACGTGCATGTGATACGCAGTACTAGTAGGCATGTAAAAGAAGCAGAAAATACAATGCATTCAAGATAAACTACAGAAAGCAAATACACAATTCAAGTAGATAACAAATGCAAACGACTCCTCAATACATTTTAAAATTGGAAAAGGGATGTACTGATCACATTAATTTATTAATTAATTCTTACCAGAACCCTCTGACACATCAACTTCTAGTTCCTTCTCTCCATCTGCCCACCAACCTTTGATGCTGAGACTGGTCTCCAACACTGGTAGCTGATGCAATACCTGATACACCTGCCACCACAAAATACTTGCTATTGAAAGTTGGCATACCAATAGATAATGGTTTGAAAATGATAAAGAATAAAACAAATAGTAATATATTCAATCTCGTTAGGGTCTACCTTTTGTTTTATTGTGCACCCCTCATAGCACGTGTGCCCAATTTGGGTGCTTTTATCACTATTACAGCAATCCATTTGCTAAGAAACCTTACTAAATGGTTTAACATACTAAACGTCATGGTAATCACATTATTTTAACACGTAAACCCTTACAAAATTTCTTATATTCAAACCAATATTATGAAATACGCTAGCAAGATATACGGATGTGATGACAGTTCACAACTTCAAACCACACACCACGAGGAGAAACATACTAGTACATACAAACGACAAAATAGACAAGCTCAAGCAAACTAACAGTAGCACGTTACAAAAACGTTTGGCTGTTGAAACTGTCACATCAGTCAGGACTTTTATTATAATATATAAATAAATTTTATTTACAAAAAATGGCATCAATCTAGGTAGGCATAGTATCTCTTTAGATATTAGACACCATAGTTCTACGACTATAATCCTAACAAAATTCATATTGTTTAAGCCAAAAAAAAGTATTATACTGCCACTACCTGCTCTATCTGTGGCGGATCAAAGTCTTGTTTCATCATTTTGAATAGCACTTCATACTTGCTGCCAACAACTGCCATCAGTTCTGGTAGGCAATCTATTCTTTGGTTGCCCCGCCTGTACGAAACCAGAAAACATGTATACCATACGCAACAGGGTCATACACAATAAAAGGAAAAAGGCAAGGGGTGATTGCTAGAAACATTACAGAGTTCCAGTTAAAATGAATTAAACCAATTCAAAATAGTACTGTGTGGACGTATAGCCTAAACACCATTTATAGCAATGTGGCTCCACGGCATCCCTTTCCGTTCAATTCTGTATTCTCGTTACCTTAGAAACCCCCTTCTGCACGGTCCCACACATAGTTGTTCTAATTCTATCTAGAGTCTGGACCAGTCAGGCAACCTCTTTTTAACTTCGAGGAAACGTTAGCTGTGCATACCTGAAGCAGCCAAGGTGGTACTTCTCAACGTGAGGTAGAGTAAGCAGGGATGAATCCTGTAGCCAGCGACCTTGGTACAGCATCTGTACCACGTGTATCACGTTAAGTGCGGCCAGCAGCCAACCCTTATCCGCTGCAGCATCCAGAAGCGCCTGGTGAGGGAAAAACAACAGAAGCTGCAGTTTTACACATTTCAGTCCATCCCGCGCACCATAAATGACTAACTAAAGAAAAGCCACATTTGTATTTTTTAGATCACACTCGATTTATACTTACAGACGAGATTATGCTCCGTAGAAATTTAACCAGCATTTTCTGGCTTCTAAATGCCACCGTTATTAATTGTGATGTTGATATAATGACTATATATGTAAGCGAACAGATCTTGCGATACAATTACAAACTAGAATACAAAGTCTTTATAGATACCTGTTTATGCACAAACACTCCTCTCAATCCCATAAGTTCTACTGCAGCTGCTACACAAGCTTCTCAGACGATCATGCATTCTTGGTAGCAACTAGCACTAGTACTATAGCCCTTCGTCGTCACAGGCCCTTGTTCGCCACAGGCGAAAGGCTGCTATAGGCTACAGGCGGTGGCTATAGTACTAGAGCTATAGGTAACAACTAACCTGTAAGATACGTATGGCCTGGTCCATGACAGACTTGGTGTCGGTGTTGTAGTCACTGCATAGCAGATGCTGACGAGACAAGTGGGCTTGAAGCAGCAGGTTGGCTTTCGTGTGTGAACTGTCAAAGCTGTGTGGTGGCACCTCCAGGGGCAGCTGCTTGGCTAGCTCGCTGTATATAAAGAAAACAACAAAGTTGAAATAAGTTCATCGCATTTCATGATAATACAAAAGTAAATGCATTTTAACTTTACTAGAATATTTCTAGTACATTGCACTTTAAATGAGAGCAAATCTTTTCAGACTAGCCCTAATGCGCATATATCATGTACTCAAGATATTTCAGTGAGCCACACACTATAGCCATGTTAACTGAGATACAAGTTTTACCTGTTTATTGCATCTTCGTTGTGCCTGACCGGTAACTCGGCGTACTCGTGTGCATTCTGCAAAGGACGATCAACAGTTACATTAGAGAGAGCATTCCATCTAAGTACAAATACTAAGTACAAGTACAAACGTAGGGAACCTGCAATCATGTATACCTAAGACAACACCCACAAAATATATGAACTTAGACTGCCTCATTCACTAACACCGATGCTTTTCTCGTTCGATCTTCTAGCTGCCTCAGTCAAACCGAGCCAAAAACATGCATTAACTGTAAGCTTCCCCAACTGCAAGATGCATGCGACACCCGCAAGACGAATCCATACAGCAAATGCACTAATTTTATTATTATAATATTTATTATTATTTTATTTATTTTATTTATATGTATTTTTATATATTAATAAAATTTCGCGAGTGTGTGAAACGACTAGCCGCGACGGAGCTCACCCACCGAGAGAATCTCGACGACCTTCTCGAGATGACAACCTTGTATTACAGATTGATGATAAACGACTAGCCGCGACGGAGTGCTCACTCACCGAGAGAATCTCGACGACCTTCTCGACGCGGGCGTCCGGCGCGAGGGCTTCCTTGAACATCTGCGCCGTCAGGTGGCTGAGGTAGTAGTAGGAGCAGATGCGGCCGAGCGTCGTCGCGGCGATCGTGCGATCGTCATCCTCCAGCTGGATGCAGTGAGAGTAGGAGAGCGAGACGACGGCCCGCTCGACGAGACTCGACAGGTAGCGGTTGATGCTGTCGTGGCCGGTGTCCGACAGACTGTAGTAGCTGCAGCACATGATAAGGCACATGATAATCACATGCGTATTGTAGAAAAGCGAGCGGACCACGTACGCTCGAGTTCACTATTAATACAACTGCTCATCTTAATAATCATGATCATCGTGAGAATATAATCATCATAATCATAATAATAATCAGCTGCTAATCATAAACTGTCAATTTGTTGCTGCAACAGTATAGTTGAAATCCTATAGAAAATAAATGAAGATGGCGGCGCATCTTACAACTATTTCAGTTTTTCAGAATTAGCTGCAAGTGGCAGTACCTAGGGTTGACGAGTAATCGTCTGAAGAAGTAAGTCCATGTGAGGTATTCAAGGGCATCCTGTTTGGAGCTGATTGTTCCAGCGACAATCTCTGCACACATGTGGTCAGGCAAAACCTCCAACAAACTGAATCAAATAATGCCAACATGAAGCAAGAATATCATGCGATACATAAGCAGACTTTTTTTTAGAGAACACACTTCACTACATTACGCACGAATGACTTACAAAATAGGTAATGGTTGCGTCTATATTATTGCATTAAAAAAGCATGTGTAAAGCACATGGTTATGCACACTAATACATAAGAAAATGGTTACATAAAGAACACTTTGGGCATATTTACTGCTTTTGCCATAAGGCTTTTCTGACCGAATATACTTCCATCCTTCTATGTTAGTGTATTCACTGACAAAATCATTACGTCAATTGATACAACGACGCTAATACCGGCAAGTGCATAGTGCCAACGGTACTTAAAAGCTAAATCTAGTGTACCTCGACTCCACAGGGAACGGCTCGTAGAGAAACTTCTTGTAGAAATGTTTCTTGACATCTTGTACGAGTATGACGGCGATGCCTTCGTCATCAAACTGTGGTCGCCCTGCTCTGCCCATCATCTGTAGTACGTCTGAATAAGAACAAACGCCGAATACCAATTTTACCATCAAAAAAGCATATTGTATTATGTAACATAACGAGGCAAACTTTAATTCTCCATTCACACTATTTCATTAATATTTTCTAACTTCCAATATATTATCCGTTTATCTTAAGACGTTGAGACCTATATTCTTACCTGTGATGGGAAAATCCACGTATCTCTTTGTCTTACCATCAAAGTACTCGGTACCTTTTACCACTACCAGATGAGCTGGGAAGTTAACACCCCACGCCAGTGTGCTGGTTGCAACAAGCACCTGTACATGATCCATGGTGAAAAAAAGAAATTGCATATTACAAAGAACATATCATTTACATTATTAGTCTTATCTAGTTAATCAAACCATTACACTGGCTTTCCCTAATACTTTGCAATTATGGTATACAATGTAGACTACCTGTAGACAATTATAAATATTATACAATATATTTGTATACACAATTATACCTATGCAAATAATAATATATGTCTATGTATATGTATAGGTATCTGTACACGTATGTATGCACGTACACATGTAAGTAGGCCTACACACATACGTACCTACGTACGGACGCACGCACGCACACACGTACGTCTCACCTGTATCTTCTGGTTAACAAACAGTTCCTCCACAGCTTTCCTGTCTTTCTCGTGAAGTCCAGCATGGTGAATCCCAATACCAAAGGCCAAGGTCAACTTCAGGTTTGCATCGCGTATATCTCGTATCAAGTGGTCCATCTGAACGAAAATGACGAAATTAAAAATTTGACATTTGCATCAGGCAATATATAATTATATCAACAATGAGTATCAATAATCGATATCAGTAATTGAGATGTGACCTTGCACGCATCTTTTACATGCATGCTGATGATTAAAATTTTCACTGCATTATCCTCACCTCCCCGTCTGGCATGTGGAGCCACTCCCTGGGGTTGTCTTCTGCAGCCAGATAGGCAATCATGTCCAGTGCTGTTACCCTGGTCTGTCGCCGTGACGACACAAATATCAGAGCAGGTTTTGTTGGGGAGTGTGTCTTGATCGCTAAAGGAAATAGCACATCCAATTAGACAGTACATTTAGCTAAATCCATGAGCATAGGCATGCAGAGAAAGACATACACACGTACGTGCAACATACCCTTACGCACACAGTTGCTCTATGATGTACCTTGGAAAGTAGGTTTATTCATTGTCGCCATGCGAGGGCAGTAGTGTTTCCCAGGAAAGCCGGAGATGTGTACCTCAAGGGGCACAGGCCTTACAGAAGGTCGGAAGTTAAACAAGCCCATCTGAAACATTTCACATTGTCTTTAACATTTAATCTATAATGGTATACGTATCACTAACTAACTACGTGCGTCATTATGTCATTACGGTAGGATAATTTACATCATAATTATGTTGTTACTAATCAACTAAGTTACTAATTAGTACAATTAGCTCTCCAATAAAGAAACTATGCAACTAAAAAATAGTTCCCACTGAAAAATAATGACTTCACACAGCTCGACAAGTTTTCTCCACGACACTCAACTAAAATCACAGCAATATCATGAAATTTTAAGTACATCCGGTTAATGGTAGCCCACTCAAATACACTGCAGCAATGTGATATAGGCAGTGTTACGTTAATTAGCGGGGAATCTGCTATCCCACCTGATCGATGTTGAGCCAGTCCGCTAGGTCACGAGCGTTAGCGAGAGCGGTGGACAGTCCGACTACTCTGACCTTCTGACCCGTGTGCGACGATATGAAGTTGGTTCTCGAGACAAGAACTTCAAGAACGGGACCTCTGTCAGCACCTGAGAGAGAGAGCAAGTTCAATCCTCACTACATCTACAGCATGACAGCTCAAAAGTCAGGCTATAGCACTGAAAAGAGCTACGATTCCTGTGTTAGATCCGAATCTTCCAGTACAGTATTTACTATTTAACTACTACTGTATACGTTGTATATTTCGCAGTGGTTTAATTTTCGCGAATTTCGCAAACGCGTCCCCGACCGCGAAAATAACAACACGCGAATAGTTCATACCAAATAATACCGAATAATTCATAATTCAGCGGCCGTGAAATTAACCACTCGCGAAATTGTCCGTCAAGTCTGAATTCGCAAAAATATCTGTACGCGAAAAATATGGCGTATACAGTATTTGATTGGGACAGCAGCTGCCCTAATATCTATGTAATATCTGAGTGTTCTATACTAGATATAGATACTATTCCCTACTTTCTACTAGTGTTCTAATGCTGACATCGTTCAGTATGTTACATGTCGTCAGGAGCTAATAATGACAAATTTGTCATTATTAGCTCTTGATGTCGTTATACCTAGCAGGTGGATTTCGTCGATGACGATGAGTGCGACAGACTGGACGTAGTTTCTCGTCTGCCAGCTGCGACTTATCCCGTCCCACTTCTCCGGGGTCGTGACGATGAGGTCAGCGTTGGCGATGGCACGCGCATCAGGGGTCACGTCACCTGTCAGCTCCACCACACTACAGTTTTTAAGAGAAATTCACTGAATTCTTTTAAACATTGCAATGATAAATAGATTGGTGGTAAAACAAGGGGTAAATAAAAGGGACATGATAAAGTAAGGATGCCTTAACCAGCTCCACCACACTACAACATCACACAAAAACACACGTCGCACACACACACTGTTTACATCGTAAATTGTTGTTTTTAAATTTATTTGAGATGGTTACCTAATTATTAATTATATAACCTCCATAATCCTTGCCATGTATGCATAAAATTCAAAAACAAGAAAGAAACAGAAATACACGTCTGATAAAATCAGTTTTTAAGAGAGATTCACGGAATTCTTTTAAACATGGTAATGACAAATCGATTGGTGGTAAAACAAGGGGTAAATAAAATGGACAGAATAAAGTAAAGATACCTTAACATATTAAGGAAACCACAATTACTGCAATTAGAGAAATGGTATATAAATATTAAACCACAAATAAGTAATTATCCCAACTGAAAACCCCACGACAGGACTACTGTGACCAGCGATGACAGCCACTGCTGATCAATGAGACTATGCAATTGAAAGTAGCTGCCTGTGTGGAATTGTCAGGATCAGACTTCATTCTCACCGTTTTCCTAGTTTCTTCTCTATACGCTCCTTCCAGTCTTGTATTCTCTCCCGGACTAGGGCCTTCAGCGGTGCTACGTATACAGCCTATAATGACAGCAAAGGACTGACTAAACAAAACAAATACTGATGGAAAAAGATACCAACCTTCTATTATGATGTATGTGTATATAAGCTGTAGTAGCATTATGTACCTATCTTGTATTAAAATAGATTTATATTACATGAATCAGGGTTACATATATAGATTTAATTTTTTTCAAACTGATTTATTACGAAAAAATCAACAAAACCAACAAACTTGTTGGCAACAAAGTTAACTGTGTATCATGGGCACAGTTATAATTAATTAGTTATCTAAATACAAATAAAATCACATGTACACTAGCTACGCTCGACAAAACATCATACCTTGCACTTTGGGTACTCTCTGAACACTCGGAATATGGCAAGCTCAGCAGCAACGGTCTTTCCTGAGCCGGTCGGCGCCCCCACGAGTGCATTGTTGTCGGTGTGGTACAGACAGTGGAAGATCTGTGTCTGAACCGGGTTGAAATGCGAGAAGCTGTACACGAGCTCCAGTCGGTAGTCGCCCAGTGCACTCACGGGCAACGGGTTCAGATCAAGCAATTCTGAAAATGGTTAAATACCAAAAACGTGTCTATATATATAGACACGCAAAGAAGCTGCATAGTTCCTTATATATACAGTGCAGAAAAAAAAGATTTATGGAAAGGTTGATTAATAAATATCACATTTAAATATTTTTACAAAAAGGAGGTGCGCATGCACACACACATGTATATATATAAACATATAAATAAGTAAATATATATATATATGTATATATATATATATATCAAGCAATCACAATAAAAGCATGAATTAACTATACTCTTAGATGTCTCTAAACAAAAACTGTATTAGGGAAAACAAGCTACAAAAAGTCATTTATTTATAAGGAATTTGTATTCAATGTAAAACTTTGAATAAATAAAAAACAGAAAACATTGACGTTGACAACGGTGACATTGTGCACCATGCAGTGCAGTATATAGTATGTACATATTGACGACTACCTACCAGTGTGAGGCGGGTGTCGCTCCGGCATGATCAAATGCTTGAAAGAGATTGGGCACACGGACTCAGACCCCAGCCAGCGGTCACTGATGGCTCGCACATAGTACTGAGATGGAAGTGGCTCGAATATCGGAATTGTGAAAGTTAGGACCTGTCGCTCACTCTTCATGACCTACAAGAGTACGGGCAGAGGAACTTAATTTTAAATGATTAACGCTGTAAAACGTGCATTAATAAATGCGTACGACCAAATACTAGAAAAGACATAACGAGCTATAGATATCAAATGACTGCAAGGTATCTGCAGACAGTGCAAGCACTCCCCTGTGCAAATTGGCACGAAAACAGGCATGAGTGTTAGACGTACATGGATTCGCCAGATAATTTTCTTCCCACCTGTTTTTTCTGCAGCAGGAAGTATTCAGAGTGGTAGATATGATCATTGTCTGGGTCCTCAACCCAGATCCAGAAGGGCTCCACACTCCTGTGAGCTCGATCATTCCACCTAAAGAAACGCACAAGCACATCAGCAAAATTCGCAGCAACCATATGCAACTGCTGGTCACGTAAAATTCACATATTAGACAATCCAAACGAAAAATTTAGCATCAAAGATATAAAAAAAAATCTTTATGAACTCTACATGCTCTTTCAAACAGATAGGACATTGTTTGATAAGCGTATGTATGAAGTCATATTTTATAATTATGTAAAAGAACAGAAATTGATATATGATGCTTCTCACGTGAAGTCAGCCTCGATGCCGAGTTGAACCTTCAACACAGTCCTGGTGATGGGCTGTATGGTTGCTTCCAAAGTCAAATTGGGAATCTGGTAGGCAAATTTCTTTATCTCTGGTCCCATTCGCACATGATGAACCATGTGGCCTAATGATAAATGATGTGACTATAATAAACACGTATTACAATTCCTAACGGCAGATGAGTATGACTATAGATTATAGATGTGGTCTATACATCAAATAGGCAATAATGGAATACATCACCAATATAATTTCAATCTGGATGCACTAAATCATAATAATCTTGCAAGGAAAACAAATTAAACAGGCACCAACTTCGAAAATTAGAAAGTTCTGATATCATGTGCATGACGTTGAGTTTCTCCCCAAATCTTCAGTGAAATATATACCTCTAAAAAATCAATAATCATAAATTAATGGCAAACCATACCAATCTCCTTGGAGTCCATTTCCCGGAGTTTATCTGGTGTCAGTTTAAGTCGTTCTAGCTTCTCGAGGATTTCATGTGGCAGGTCAAACTGCCGCATTGGATTTTGGAACCCCCAGAGCTGCCTGTCCATCACCTGCAAGAACAAAATAAGAAGATAGATGCTGCAGTTTATGCAGCCTAAGCCGCAGTGATACACATTTACTCATCAGATATGGGAACAATAGTTTTTAATGATCACCCAACTGAACTACTAAGAAATCCATAGTCGTAAAGGGGTTTTCGCCCGAATTGGAATGAGACATGGCATCGGAAAAACTTTCAAATCGGATTTCGTGAAAGATATTACCTTGCTGAGAGTGAGCAGTCGTCCCGACATGATGGGCCAGCCCTTGGTGAGACACACCTCAAACAGGGCTCTGATGATTCTCGACGCATTCTGCCAATCACCAAATTCATTCGATGTCAATTCCATTAAAAAAACTGTTGCTCAGCGAATACGGCTCCCTCATGCAGCTGTTACTACACATCACTGGTGCAATATTCATGCTGATATTTTGCGCGGCATAGAAAAACTTGTTAAACTTATATTGCGTAGATAAACTTATAGACATGTAGGTGAAGGTAAAGCAGCAGTACCTGTTTCACGTACGCGGCGTCGGACACCAGTGAGAAACTGTCCATGCGCGCACGGGAGATGAACGACTGTATGAGCACGTTCACTTTGCCGTACGTGTTCTCCGTACCGCCGAACACGTTCAGGTGACACGACTCCATCTGGTGGCGATCCAACTCCTCCAGCTCGTCGTCTCTCACCTGTTTGACGAGCAATATGCAAATGAACGTATGCATAATTAATGTGATTACGCCACTGTAAACAGTACTAACAATTCAACAGTTTAACTACAAAATATACAAATTTATGCAAACTTCAAAAGGAATCTTTCAAATAATTATAAAAGCCAAAACTATAAAAAAAATATAGATATGGTTTCTTAGCTCTTTTGGATACTATGGATCTGAATATATGAGTTCTTGGTCAAATGCCAGCAATGCTAAACTGAATGTTCATGTGTATGAACTGCAAGTTTTTTTGCATTCACTATTTCTGTATGTTGAAATGAGCAAAGTGTATTGTCACAGTTAATTAGTGTAGCCTTGTTCTCCTAACACCATTTTTCCATTAAACGTTGTGTTCACCATTCAAGGTTTCCCTAATCGGAACATTTTTCAGGAACGTGACGCCTGTGATAAGCGAGTGATTTCTGTACGTATACACAGCTACTGTGGAACCGATTATGGATCGATGTACATCTAACATATAAAAATTTTCACTTGTGACAATGCACAACAGTTATTCCTTAATCTGTTCAAACTCTCTCAAGATATGGATACTGTCTTGGTACTGCATGTCTTCACCTAAGCTTGAAATTGCTTATGGTTCTACGTACATGAAAATATTAGAAATTCATACTTTTGATAATGCACCACAGTGATACCTTGATCTGTTCAAACTCCTGAGCTTTGGACACTGTCGCGAGGATATCTGCCTCTGTCATCGCAGACTTTAGCTCTTCATTGATCGTCGCTACCGTGTCATACTGAAAGTATTAGCGCCCAAATACAGATCTCATTCAGACAGTTCTAATATATGCAAATTTGTGAAACAATTTGCTAATATATACTCCCATGCATTACGTGGGAGCAGGAATCTCAGAAAAGCTTGTATTTATCTTTGTCATCTGTCACGAATCACAAATCTTGTGAACACCCAAAAATTGAAGAACCATATGGTTAGTACCTTGATGTAAAAGTGGCTGGCTATGCGACCCAGATCTGTTGAGAAGAGAAACCCAGTGCGCTCCTCAAACCTGACCATGTGGGCCGAGTCCAGTTGGCGAGCAGCATGAACTATCTGAACCTTTCTGTGGCCGAGTAGCATCGGATCGTTCTGTGATCACAGTGCAACACAATGAGCAATGCAATTATAAATCAGGTGACAAAAAGTTTCTTTAGTCAACAAATTGAACGCTCATTTGCAATGTTGCCAAGCTTGTGAAAAATGCACTATTGCCTAGCGATCCACGCAAAAGTACGTAGGACTAATGTGGCAATTGTCGACATTTACAACCATACTGAAGTATGCACACAAATTATTAATAGTAGACTAAGATAAAATAAAACAAAATTACGATGAAAACGGGATTAAAAAGGCAAATAAAAGGAATAAGAACAACAAAATATCACAATCATCTTCATACACACTTGTAACGCAGTGAACGGGATTCCATAGGCGTGGAAGTTCTTGCGCATTCGAACGAACAGGTAGGTGTAACTGAGCCACTCCACTGCTTCCTCGACATTAGTCACAGTTCCAAGCGCAACCTGTACATCATACAGACTTAATTATGTGTGACAATACCAATATGGTGACACTTCATTCACACTCATTCAATTCAAAATTACAGAGAGGAATATATATATATATATATATATGTGTGCGTGGGTAAGGTAGCACTGCGTGCGTTCTCTCTCTCTCTCTCTCTATATAAATAATATATACATTAATATATATAATATATATATAAATATATAGAATATATATATATACATATACAGTACATTACAGAATCAGCACCATCAACATTCCCACCTCTGCGTTTAGATTGTCGGTGAGGCTGCCGAGAAACTGGCTCTCGATCGGGTTTTGGCGGGTGAGCAGAGACAGGTAGTGCGACAGCTTGTCGTGGCTCGTGATGATCGTGCCGTGTCCGTACTTGTCGTACTGCGGCCGCCCCGCGCGCCCGAATATCTGCATCACGTCCAGCATCCCGAGGTCGATGAACATGCCGTGCTTCGCATCGTAAATCTGAGTGCCCTGCACGACATATAACAAGGTGACAGTCATACACACAGCCTTGCGAATGATGACCCAGAAACATTGGCACCGACGTAAAATAATTCGAATATAATTATATAATAATAATATAATAATAATAGTAATAATAATAATAAAATAACATCATTGATTCATTACAATAGAAGCAAAATGATCAACACGATTAATGTAGTGATGGCTGGAACAGAATTGGTAATTGCAATGCATAATAAGTTCACAGACACATTTGTGCACTTTTTCTCAACGAATCTATGTGAAGATAGAAGGTCAGACTGAAGTTAACAAAACAAGGTATTTCAACCCTGTAATAACAAACCTTGTACACAGACGACAATACACACTCGACCCCAGCAGCATACATTAGATTGTCATAAGTCTGACTAGTTGCCGACCAGTACATGACCTAAACCAGTGGTTCTTAACCTTTTTTGCATCATGGACCCCTCTGAGAATCTGGTGAAAGCTATGGCCGCTCCCCAGCAAAATGCACGTACATAAGCACATAAACACACAATTTTGTATGCGCCTGGTTCACGGACCCCCTGAAGCCCATCCACGGACCCAAAAGGGGTCCCTGGATCACAGGTTAAGAACCCCTGACCTAAACTTAAGAGTGGACAGCCTTACCTTGATGATGACAGCGTGCGCGGGAAGATTGACGCCCCAGGCGAGGGTCGCGGTGCAGCAGAGCACCTTGATGAGACCGCTCGTAAAGAATCTCTCCACGAGATTCCTGTCGCTGCGCAGCATCCCAGCGTGATGAATGCTGAAGCCATCCTCGAAAAGTTCTTTCATCTGCATGTTTCGTGATCGTGTCATCTGAAAAAAAAGTGTGGTAGATCATTATAGCAAAATCAAAGCACATAATATCAATAAATACAATTATACATGAATAATAGGGTGTCGCTTAACTGCAATGACATTAATAGAGGCACAATATACTTATGATATGCAACAAAAGTGTATTTAAACGAGTATTTGTAATGAAGTATGAGTAAATGAGGAATGGCCTAATTCAACATGATGTTGGTTACACAAGCTAGATCTGCAACCTATTTTACCCGAATAAACAAATACCTGCTTCTGAGCCAACCCAAACTTGGAGTCCTGATCCGCGGAAAACATACGGAGCTCGTTCTTCGACGAGGCCTTGTCCCGCAGCGTCATAGCAGTGCGCACTGTGGCATTACGCGCGTGAACAAAGACCATCACCTGAGAAACAGCAAGAAATTCCTCGTTCGTAACTGCTACACGTAGACAAGCATAGTCCGGCGTATATAATGGCCACTCAAGGGTTGATGAGATGTTATGATGGCAATCAATATTTTGTGACAGGAGTTAAGTGTACCTGGTGCCCATTTTTCACTTGTTCAGCAACTTTTTCGTAACAAACTTCGTCCATGGCTCCCATCAACTGCATTGGATTTCTACCTTTAACTCCTATGAAGGTTTGGCCAAGTGGAACTGGTCTGTAAAAACAGTATAGAAGCCTTATAGAGGCATATAATAAGTGCTTCTGTATGGCCAACTTCTCCTATGAATATGTCGCGACTCATTATGTAGTAATTAGTAACAGGAGTGTCATAATAGAGATCGTCTATATTGTGATGCTCCTGATAATAATACATAAGGTAAGAGTGTTCAAATTTTCCCACAGCACTGACGGCGAGTGCTAGGCTCGCATGACTGTTGCTGCATCCGCATTTTTTCGATCCTATCCATCATACCACCTTCATGTACTCATATATATACACAGTTTCAGATTAAAATCGCTAATATTATAATATAGCACATATAGCATATATTGTGAGATATAGTCAAGAAACAATTGTAAGTCATATATCAAAAATATATCGATAAAGCTCACCTAAAACGACCATCAAAGAAGAAAAGACCAACATATGGGTTGACCCTTAAGAACTGTGCCACATCCATGTAGTTTGGCAGAGTTGCTGATAGACCGACGATACGGATCATTAATTGAGACGACTCCACCTAAAATATAAATAAATAGAGTTGGGAATACTGCAGAGGTTATTCAATTACCACGGAAGTGTGTTCATATGTCAATGTATCAGAATGACGGTGCTCCATATGCAGCTTTTAAAATGGCATCTGCAGCCACCTAAAGTTCATCTAACTGCGTAATACACTCACAGTCCAACGCTTGGTGCACGTACAACTATATCTAGGATCGTATATTTCTCCTAACTGATTTCATATATTGATAACAGAGCAGAGCTGCTATATTGCTGTTAAAGCTATACCTTAATTGACTATGAGTTCATAAAATTTAAATAACTTTTTTCTTAATAAATAACATAAAATAATAAAATTAATTACAATTTAAAAAATTAAAATAAATTCATTAACTAATAGCATGTATGTCTGTGGCTTATATATATATTTCCCGACATAGGGCGCAGCACCTGTCGTAGCGTCCTAGCGACGAGACTCTCCAGCACGGCCCCGCGGTCGTCGTGCAGCAGGTGTACTTCGTCGATGATGAGCAGACGCACAAGCTGCGTGAGCGCCACGTCACCGGCGCCCTTACGCGTCACCACGTCCCACTTCTCCGGCGTCGTCACCAGCATCTACAGGCGAGTGGCAAAAGGAGGTTCACGTTCGGCGTGAGTTTACATTGAGCGTGAAAGTTTACTTCCGGAGTGAAGGTTTACGGTCAGCCTGAAAGTTTACATTCAGCGTGAAAGTTTACACTCAGGTGGAATAGACAAAACACTTAACATGTTACACACAATGCCATGTTATAACCAGATATGACCAATCCTGAATGTTAAACTGGTTATTGTGTCTAAACCGAGGCAATTTCTCTGGTTATTTTCACATCAAAATTGACCGACAGAATTTCTCCTTCCTCTTTTAATGTCTCTTTCCTTTTCCTCCCCCTCTCTCCTCTCTGCCTTTACCTTCCACACCCTTCCCGCTACAGTGGTAAGCGTGCGACATTGAATAACGAAGAGTATATTTGGAGTTGGAGCTTTGATGGCCAACTTGGTTGAAGTTGTTTGTGACAATTGCTTCACAAGTGTAGCTTCTAGGATGCATAAGGAATGCACGCCTTCCCGCCAACTTAGAGTGAATGCAGCAGCACTTCAACAGCATCGTTCATAACAGACCATCTTTTCGACTAGACAGCGTATTCACACTCAGTCCAAAAACTCTACATATTAGCGAGTTTCCGAGCTATTTACCTGCGTTTGCATGATTTCTGTCTTTGTCAGTTGCATATCTCCAGTCAACTCTTTTACTTGTATTCCTAGTGGCTCCAACTTCTGGCCAAAATTCCTGACCATCTCTGCAGCCAGAGCTTTCATCGGTGCTATGTAGACAACCTAGAATTGAATATAGTAAGGCACCCCTGACATATTCAGTGCTCAATTTTAAGGTTTTTTTTGGGTTGTCCGGAGGACAACCAAGAGAGTAGCATATGGTTGTCCCTCAAGAGTTTTGGTTGTCCGGATATTATTTAAACATGTGCTGCATGCGCTCTGCTCACGTGATGCTCAGTGCTGTAAAGCAAAAGGCCTAATCATGTACATTTTGTACGTATTGCAGTGACAGCAGACACGGCCATTCGCATTGTTTCACTCATTATATGAAGAGAATAAAATATTGGTAATGTGGTAAATGATGCTGGGATCAATGACGTATAATAATAGTAATTAAAAGTTGCATGAAATTTATTTCATAACATTTACATTAACACTGTGTCAAGTCACAGATGAGCAAAAATTGAAAATAAAAAAAAAAAATTTCAAAATTAATTTAGAGGTTGGACACCGAACAACCACGGAAGCAATTTGTAGTTGCCCGAGAGAAAATCCAGTCGTCACGGACGACCTTTGTTAAAATTGAGCACTGCATATTCATGGATATATTACATACATAACAGTGTACAGTTTGATCTCATATAACGATGTACTTGTGTTGCGATATTTTGTATAGCAATGATGATGATCACAAAGCTAGTGCAGTGAGTGTGTAAATAAAGGGAACGTCCAGACTAAAATATAGCTATTTCTATGCTGCAAACTCATAACCGATATGATACGCATACACACACTAGATAGTTCCTGCAGGGAAAGACAACATACCTTAAAATCATCCTTCTTGATGACTCCCTGGTGGATGTGCTTCTTAATCTCATGCAACACAGTGAGCATGGCAATGTTCGTCTTGCCAGCACCAGTCGGAGCGCATATCAGCAGATTTTCGTTGCTGTAGTACGCTGTCTCACACACTACCGACTGTATCTTGTTCAGCTGCTTAGTACTTCTAAAGGCCACCTGGGCTATCTGCAAGAACATGGTAGGAGACTTATAGACACTCTCTTATACAGGTTCTATTCGAGGTAAGACAAGAATATCCCTTATTGTCTTAGTTCTGGTTGAATCATTAATGTTTCAGTATACAGTATACTCATTTTGAATATGGATTCAATTGGATATTGGATTATCTACAAAATCTCAAATACTTAAAAAAAACTTTATTAGATACCTCATCCAGCTCTGAGATCTGGATTAGATGAAAGTCTTCTCCAACTGGAGCTTGCTCTGTTGGCGGAATGTTTACTTCTTCGTACAATTTGTTGTCTTTCCGATCAAACCCATCTGGCAATACCATCTATCAAATAGTATGAGATCACGATTTAAATAAAACTTCACGACACTGTAATGCAGAAATTATCAGCGACTATTTGAGTTACATCTAACAGAAAATGAAGGATTTGGAGTTGGAACAGAAAGGGTAGTTGCTGACGTCACAAATACGGTTCATACAACTAAAGCAAATCTTTAGAACAACAGTTACACAATGATTTGAGAGGACGTTGCATTTAGTAAAGCGTGCGCATGATCTGTACCGTTGCTCCTCCCACAAAGGCAGATGAACTCTTAGCTTCAGCATACAAGTCAAACACATGGGGAAACTTCTCCACTACAGTATCGGTGCGGGGAAGCCTGTCTTGAAATAGAGGAACTTTGGCAGCAGCATCTAGCTGGGCCGCCCTTAAAAAAAGTTCATAATAGCAACCGGTTATGAATACACAGCGTATCACATCATGCATCAACTGGCTGAAATATCAGTACATCTATACATATTACTAATCCAAGTATAAGCGGTAAATAGATGCAAGTTTAGCTAGGGTTGTGAATATACTACATCTACTACATAAATGGGGGATCGAGGCTTTCAGATTTGAAAACGTACAGGAGAGATACTAATGACTCCCTTAGACACCATGAGGAGGACTTTCACGCTCGATTAATCACACGCCATAGAGGCATGATGGAGACAGCTCCATTAAAAGATTTACACCCTTAAGAGGCCATGATGGAGAGCTCACTAAACAAATCACACCCTTAAAAGGTCTTGCCATAGCGACGAAAGCGCGTGACTCAATTTTATGTTTTTTTTGGGTTGTCCGGAGTCTGTCTCAAGAGTTTTTTGGTTGTCGGATCATTTATTTAACACATGTGCTGCATGCGCCCTCCTGCTCAGCGCTGATGCTCCCGAGTTCGCTTTCATAAGCAAAGGCCTCATCAGATGTGACCATTTGTAGCGCGTTATTGCTGAGACTCAGCAGACATGCATTCGCATCTAGTTTCCACTCATTAATATGAAGCATAATAAAATTGGTAATGTGTAAATGAGGCTGGGGATCAATGACCGCTCTAATAATCAGTAATTAATAAGTGCTGCATAAACAATTCTTTATTTCATAGATTTTACCGATTAGTAAGCTACGTAACATTACTGAACTTACTAACACTTACTAAGCATTAATTAAGCACGTTCCCGGCGCATATGACCAGTATGTGTCAATTCACAGGATGAGCAAAATTGAAAATTAAACACAAAACATTGTGTTGATAAACACGTATGTTATCTTTGTTATCAGCAAGCCAGACATGCGTCATAGACATGTACGTTTGCCAGCGTATTGTTTCTTTTTCTTGCAACCCTTGGCCCGTATGTAAAATGAACGCCGCGCATGTATGAATATAACCTTTTTATAGAGGTTGGACACGGAATACCACGATAAGCTAATTTGTATTTGCCCGAGAGAAAATCAGTCGTCACGGACGACCCGGACGACTGTGTAAATGAGCCCTGCCGGAAGGCGTGTATGAAAGTTGCAATTCTATGTGAAGCTATCTGAATATAGAGTTTGGGGCTAGAATAGATACTCCACTTCAGGGCTCGCTGGATCGCATTGCAACAGTGACAACTCTATGGACAGGAAAACTAGCCTCAAGGCCACGCGTTGACAGCGGCCGGGGCTTTTTTGAATGTACACGATCGAGTTTGCGATAACAGACTTTTGGTGCGTCGATGTTCAAGCACTTTTACTGAGGCGCGATGATTGCGGCACCATGGCACAATTTATGCGTCGCGCGTGGTGGAGCGCATGAGCGCAGATCGCGCCCTTAAAAATGAAGCCTGGGAATCTGTCTGTCACTCTATGCCGGTGGTGTCTATCTTGTCGAACCCACGGTAAGACGGTGACCCCTACACCATATATATCTGAATCAGCATGACGCGATGGACATAATTTAAGCCAAAAAAATTCAGAATTTAAGCCAACAAATATGAAAAACAAAACACAAAAACGAGAGTATATGATACCTTAACTAATCTTATTGCTCATGTGCACACCGGGTCTATAGGTATTTATATAAATCTACCGTGTCTTTAATTCTTTGTCAATGTTTCTTCAAATTCTCATGTTCTCATTGGCTTCCTATGTTTTATAATTTAATTTTCGCTTTCTTCCACATGACCGAGAGGGGCATTACAAGAAATAATCAAAAATATACCTAAGAATTCATATAGCAATACAAAATATACAAGAGTTCAATCCAATGATAAGAATCTCATTTGGCGGGTGCGCCCCCTGCGAGATTAGCGGATCTGATTTCGAATGAGTTTGGACAGATTCCCCATTATATGTTGTAGATTTATTTATGTAATAAGGAAAAAGAAAAAAAGGGAGGGGAGGGAGGGGCGGGGGAGGTAATAGAGAGAAAATGGAAAGGGAAGGAGAGGGATGGATGTATAGGCGTCATGGCAGAGCTAAATTCTAGCTGCTTTTCTCCTTTAATCCGGGGCATCGCGGGTAGCCCAGCTAGTAGCTATATAGAACGGTAACAACACTGCACCAAATATCAATTAGGGTATCAGCTTAAAGGGAAATCGAATTTATAACGCGTTATTACTATGCTTATTTGAAACTAATATTCTGATGATTACCCAACTCTCATCTCTCAGTGCTTTGTGGAATGGAAACTTTTCTCGAGTGGCTCGAATTTTTCCATTCATCTCTCTCATCTTCTTCTGCTTCCTTCCGCAACTGTTTTTTCAGTTGTTTCATCAGATTCGACTGTAAAACAATTTAGAGCAGCGTGGGTTGGTTTCTCTCCACCAACATGCCAGTTCCCTCTAAGTAAAAATTCATACATTAAAAACATAGATTGGCACGAAAATCGTGCATCAATGTATGCTGGCATGTGTTACTGGTCAGTAAAGGCACGAATTGCTGATGCTTTACTTCGGCATCTTTACACTTAATGTGTACAGACACATTCAGGTTTACATGTAAATTATGCACTGTCAACACTGGTAAATAAACATGTATATTTGCATAAAAAAATTCATATTAAACTTTTCATTTGCATAGTGTGACATCAGGTTCTCTCCTACGTTGCGCAAAACGGCGCGCGCCTGCCGTTTGGGAAAACTTTTTTCTTTTTAAAAAAATGGAAATGGCTACATTGAGGAACAGGCTGAGTGAGTCAGCTTTGGAGGCGCTGCTGCTACTGCAATTGAGGGCACCTCCGGCAAGAATTGCCATCGCACCCACTGGCCCAGCAAGAAACAAGTCCGCACCTGCAGCTACAGCACACACGCATCTATTTACTATATATAACAACGTTATATATAGTTGTTATAGTAGTTATAGTTGTTATAGTAGTATATATATAACTATAATATAATGTTGTTAAATATATTAGGCAAATAGATGCGTGGTGTTGTAGCTGCAGGTGCGGACTTGTTCTTGCTGCAGTGATTCGACAGGCCCCGGACCCCCTAGTTTCCTCCCCCCTCCCCCTCCCTCTCCCCCTCCCCCTGTTTCAATTTCATCCTGGGGAGAACCCTGGACATTTCTCTGATATAAAATCTAAACCTCAATACTCATCCTATACTTGCCAACCAAATAATAAGCTATTAATTGTAGCTTTTTCATCACGTTTCTGCTATACACGCATGATGTACCTGAACTGTAACTGTACAGGCAACATTGGGTCGGCTTTGCTGCAATTCACACGGGAGCTTTGATTCAGGTAAGTCCTGGTTAAACGCAGAGTCTAGTAGTGAGCTTCGACTTTGTAGGAGACCTTCAATCATCACAATCCTTTCAAAGCCCAGAAAATCGAACAGCTGAAGAAGAAATAAACACAAAAACATATCATTTATTATCAACAGGACCTGTTTCTCCAGTTGGCCATTTTTGATATATGATTTGAAGGTATATAGCGAGGGAGAAGTTATATATATGCAAAATATCTGTTCAACAGTTACAACAGTGTTGTGCATATCAGGTGGTATATACATATACCAACTGATATGCACACCACTGTTGTAACCATATAATTAACACATACGTACATAGTACATATACACACGTCTGTATATGTACGTATCATGTGTTAATTATATGGTTATATATAATATGGTTGCGAAAAATACTGCATTATAATTGATAGACTATATGCTACATGCAACGACAAATAATAACCTATGATGGCCACTGAGCTGTGCTGCCACATAGGATACATATTATTTCTCACCACCGATTGATAAAACTACTCTGCCTCACAATAATGTTTGTTATATGATATGATAGATCTATTAATTGGTTTGTTGGTAGTTATAGAAGCTGTTAATAGTTCATCTAAATGCTATAGATTTTAGTCTATCTTTCTGGATTGTGATTATGTATGAGAAAAATGATTAGGGATAAGGCGGACTGAGTGTTTAATGTAACTTTGGGCTCATGTTTATTGAGTTGAACACAATAAATCATAGGTAGACTACAAATTTTCACCTCTTTATACTTTCATATCTTACAGTTATTTATACTTTGGCTTTTACATATACCAAAGAAATTATAGTTTGGTTGTAAGAAAAACATAAAGTATTGTGGTTAATAATTGTATAAGATACTCACATCGTTTTGAAGTTGCTCATTCGTCTGGTCTGAAGAGAGCATGTCAAACAATGACGCACAAATAGCAGACACCGGTAGGCCAAGTTCATTGTCATCATCTTTAAAGTACTTCAAAACTTCAAACTGTAACCAGGATGCATCTGGCTGTCTGTTTTCTGCTGTACTAACTCCTCTCCTTGATTGATCTCTGCAAAGCTTTACCCTAGACTTTCCAGTTGCTGTTGTTTTCTTCGCTGTAGGACTGTGGTATTTCAAATCAATTTTCAATTCTTGATAGTCCTCAGTTTCAGAATCTGAACTTAGGAGGTCAAGAGTTTCATCTCGAGGTGCTGTGAATTTGATACCTTTACCAAACTCTTCGTTTATTTGGACCCTGTCACCAGTTTTCTTCAGTTCATCTCTAATTTGTTCAGGAATTCCAGAGAGTAGTTTCTTCACAATGAGTAAAGCTTTCTGAGCAGAGGCCATAGTAAAGTGGCCAAATGCTTGTTGCAGGGTCTTTGCAATTTCTCTTGAAACTGACTCATGGTCTTTCAATGTTGAGAACAGAAATGTTGCAGCCGATTGTACCTCGTCCTGAGTTGCGTAACTTCCAACTATAAAAAAGTCAACATTAATTAGGCCACTGTGAATGTGATTCTCTAATAAGGGTGCAACTATATGTGAATGTGAATGCGAGCAATTACAGGTTATCCTTATATTATTCTCGTTAACATTATAGGCATGTTCTATTATTTGATATTCAAATTTAAGCAAACACTTGCCAAAGTCTTTTGCAACATGAGTTAACTCCTTCAAAGATTCGATGCTTTTCGAGGAATGGCTTAGCAGGGTAGACTTTAGCTTGCTCCATGTTAGATCTTGACTTTCGCGTCGATGGGAGAAGCGTGGTAACCAGGTGGCATCAGCAGATTTTTCATAATCCACATCAGCTGTTATGTGCGAGAAAGCTCGCAGTGCCCCAGTTAATCGAGGAACAGTTGACACTGCCATTACAGTGTATATCTCCAGAGATGAAACTGCGCCTATAAGTAGGGTGAACAGCAATATATAGTGATTATTGTATTTACTATATATATACATTAGTATATACCATCACGATGTATCAGGGTTCTCCCCAGACCTTTAAGTGTCCCGATCAGATCTTCCATGCTAATTTGTGATCTCAATTTGATCTCTATTGATGTGAATTTATTTGATGCCAAAATTAATCTATTTGATCTCAATTTGATCTCTCTTTGATGCTAATTTGTAATCTCAAAATTTGTAACCCTAACCCCCGGGCCCCCCACTCAGTGTTATTTAGGGTACGCATATGCTCGTTCCCTCCCTTTGAAAGCACCCCCCTATCTCAGGACTGCCAAAATTTCTGAACCCCCCTTTCGCGGGCTTTTTGCGGGGTTTTCCTGCCTTGGAGACCCCCTTAAATCCGGAACACTGCTCCTAATCGGGAACTAGGGGCAATATTTTTACTTTTCAAAATGAAATAATCCTGAATGAGCTTTCAAAACTAGCAGGAATTTCAGGAATTTGATCCCGGGATTTGATAAAGTTTTCTATGATATTCAAGATGAAAGAGAGAGAGGAAAAACACCTCCTTTTTAAAGAAATCTCTGGGTGAAAAGTCAAATACACCCCCTTTTTTTACAATTCTTGGGCCGGATTTTGTCGCGCGAAAAATACCCTTTTACCGGAGATTTTGGGAACGCGCATGCAGTCCCTCCGACCTCGGAGTGGGGGGCCCGGGCCCTAACCCTAACCCTAACACACTTCGTGATACCTAAGGTTTAGCTCCAAGAAACGGTATTGCTAGGGTTAGAATACCCCTATATTGACGTTAGTCACACAGCCTGGTCGGGTTACCTAAGGTTATACTTTGACTTAGGCCCGTTACTTAGGGTTAGGGTTTTTGCATCATTCCTTGATATATGGAAAGTCTGTGCATCAGTTGATGATACACAGAATCTTCGTGATACCTAAGCCTAAAATGCCTATAGTGGATTTGCGCCACCGGACCGTAACCAGGGTACGTTCCGGCAGTACACCGGCCTAACCCTAACCGGTAACCCTAACCCTAACCCTATGGCTATCACAGGCACTTGAAGCATATCAACAGTAAACATACGACCCGCCATCGCGCGTACACTGACACATATACATATGGCCTATGAGCGGCACTAACTTTAACCGGCGACCGGCGTAAGATTGCCGATTGGCAGGATTTCTTATACGTATTACTAGTACAACTGTCTGATCTATTGACTAGGATAATTTACAACTTGTTCTACCCATAATATCATATATATACATTGCGTTTTAACACATATTATTCTATGTTATGGTCTAGATTCTAGAACTTACTACTAGATTAGGGTTAGTTGGTTAGGTTTAGGGTTAGTTGGGTTTAGGGTTTAGGTTAGGGTAGGGGTTAGGGTCTAGCTCATGTAAAACTCTCAAATCCGTGAATTTATTTCCCAAGGCGTTATTTCGAAATAATCTCGCCACCGCCGCCATCTTTGTCTCGTTAAGTATGAAAGCAATGGACTGCGTACCGTAGCCTTCGATACATTAAGATACGCCTGGCGTACCCGTAGCCACTGCCTAATTAATACTAGAACCTAGAGGCGCTATCACTATCAGTGACACAGCAATCACTCATCACTTCTTCAGAAAGATACCCTAGATATCTACTAAGTACTATCATTCTTTCTATCTTTTTAGCTCTTTCCATCTTTCTGTTAGTTTATGCATAGTGGCGTGCGGTGAAATTGTGTGCTGCAGAGGAGCATTTGAATGGCATGATTTACGTGCGATTATTAGTCGATAGGGAATACATAAACATTGACGTTTTAGATGCCTGGCTGTGCAGTGGGTCTACGGTCAACTCGGCCCACCAGCCAACTCGCACCGTGTGGCGAGTTCACTTGTCTGGAGATCGGGTGAGCTCACTCTGTGGATGAGTTCACCCTCCTGGAGATCGGTGAGTCTCGCCGCCGGCTAACTCGTGAGATGTTTCACACGCCCCAATGTCGAAACGTTTGAATGTAAGTTAGTACATTTGATACACGCACGGGTATATATATATATATATATGTGAATAAAGATGAATAAATAGAATATATTATAGTATACTGTGCATTGTATCAATATTACTAATTCTTACATGCAAACTTTTGATCGTA